GGGTTCCAACATTCATACGGAAGCCCTCGGTCATGAGCCCTCAGCGAATGGCCTTCATGCCATCGCCCTCATGACCAGCGCGTGGCCTTCATGCTGCCAGCGCCTTCATCCTCGGGTTCCAATATTCATACGGAAGCCCTCAGTCATGAGCCCTCAGCGTATGGCCTTCATGCCATCGCCCTCATGACCAGCGGGTGGCCTTCATGCTGCCAGCGCCTTCATCCTCGGGTTCCAACATTCATACGGAAGCCCTCGGTCATGAGCCCTCAGCGTATGGCCTTCATGCCATCGCCCTCATGACCAGCGCGTGGCCTTCATGCTGCCAGCGCCTTCATCCTCGGGTTCCAACATTCATACGGAAGCCCTCGGTCATGAGCCCTCAGCGAATGGCCTTCATGCCATCGCCCTCATGACCAGCGCGTGGCCTTCATGCTGCCAGCACCTTCATCCTCGGGTTCCAACATTCGCACGGAAGCCCTTTGTCATGAGCCCTCAGTGTGTGGCCTTCATGCCACCGCCCTCATGACCAGCGCCTGGCCCTCATGCCAGCGCCTTCATCATCGGGTTCCAACATTCATGCGGAAGCCCTTAGTCATGAGCCCTCAGCGTGTGGCCTTCATGCCACCGCCCTCATGACCAGCGCTTGGACCTCATGCCAGTGCCTTCATCATTGGGTTCCAACATTCATGCGGAAGCCCTTGGTCATGAGCCCTCAACGCGTGTCCTTCATGCCACTGCCCTCATGACCAGCGCCTGGCCCTCATGCCAGCGCCTTCATCCTCGGGTTCCAACCTCTAAACGGAAGCCCTCGATCATGATCCCTCAGCGCATGGCCTTCATGCCTTCGCCCCCATGATCAGCGCCTGGTCCTCGTGCTAGCGTTCATCCTCCGGTTCTAACAATCAGACGGAAGCTCCCGCTCATGAGCCCTCAACGCGTGGCCTTCATGCCATCGTGCTCATGGCCATCACGACAGACCCCCTGGTCTCAACATGATCATCTGTCTCACGACCGGACTCATCCCCTCACTTCATGGATGAGGACCGTTGCATGGATTTCGGGATCGGCCCGTCAGCGTCGACATCCTTGCATCACAGCAGACCCCTTGGTCTCAACGTGATCATTCATCCGGTGACACGGCAGACCCCTTGGTCTCAACGTGATAATCCCTCAGAAGACCGGCCTCATCCCCTCACTTCATGGATGAGGACCGTTGCATGGACTTTGGACTGGCCCCTCAATGCCGCCGTTCTTGCATCACGGCAGACCCCTTGGTCTCAACGTGATCGTTCATCCGATGACACGGCAGACCCCTTTGTCTCAACGTGATCATCTTTTTGAAGACCGGTCTCCTCCTCCCACTCCAAGGATGAGGACCGTTGCTGGATTTCGGACTGGCCCCTCCATGCCGGCGTTCGTGCATCACGGCAGACCCCTTGGTCTCAACGTGATCATCTTTCTGAAGACCCTCATCCTCGGCAGTACCTCTTGGTACCCCTCGGCAGTACCTCTCGGTACCCCTCGGCGGTACCTCTCGGCACCCATCGGCAGTACCTCTTGGTACCCCTCAGCAGTACCTCTCGGTACCCCCTCGGCGGAACCTCTCGGTACCCCTCAGCAGTACCTCTCGGTACCCCTCGGCAGTGCCTCTTGGTACCCCTCGGCGGTACCCCTCAGCAGTACCTCTCGGTACCCCTCGGCGGTACCCCTCGGCAGTACCTCTCGGTACCCCTCGGCGGTACCTCTCGGCACCCATCGGCAGTACCTCTTGGTACCCCTCAGCAGTACCTCTCGGTACCCCTCGGCGGAACCTCTCGGTACCCCTCAGCAGTACCTCTCGGTACCCCTCGGCAGTACCTCTTGGTACCCCTCGGCAGTACCTCTTGGTACCCCTCGGCAGTACCTCTCGGTACCCCTCGCCAGTACCTCTTGGTACCCCTCGGCCATACATGAATCCTTCGGGTAACATTCCAACGGCTATATTGCGAAGTGGCCTCAGCCAGCACCCTTCGGCACACAGGCAACAGTTTCCTTCAGGTTCCTATGCCTTCGAGCATGCAACATTATACGCCTTTGGTTTGTCAATGTTGCACCCTCAAGTGATCATCTCCGGTTGTCACCTACTATAGCCTTCGGGGAACAACTCTCACCAAATGCCTTCGAGAATGCAGCAGCATAAGCCTTCGGCTTGTCAATGTTCCGTCCTCGAGCATGTAGCAGCATAAGCCTTCGGCTTATCAATGTTGCACCCTCAAGTGGTCACCTCCGGCTATCATCTGTTACAACCTTCGAGGAAGCAGCAGCATAAGCCTTCAGTTTATCAATGTTGCCTTTCATCAAGTGCCCCCGAGCAAGCAGTAGTATAAGCCTTCGGCTTATCAATGTTGCACCCCCAAGTGACTGCCTCCGGCTGCAACCTATTATGGTCTTCGGTGAACAACTCTCACCAGAACCCTTCAAGAATTCAGCAGTATAAGCCTTCGGCTTGTCAATGCTGTCACTCATCAATACATACTTGGATGATAGCCTTCGAGCAGATAGCAGTATAAGCCTTTGCCTTGTCAATGTTGCCACCCCTCGGGAGCTCATCAACACATCATAACTCCTTCAGCCCGAACTTGCCTTCGACCTAAAGGAGTGAGGGACTGGGATACACCCCTCGGGAATCACACATGACTAAAAACAAAAATTCCCACATGCAAGAAATCTACAAATAACGCATGTAGCCCTCGGGTACATACACCATTACACCCTTCGGCAAAGCAGAATGTCAGAAACTTTCCACAAAGTCACTGACAATGATGAAGCAGCCTTCATCACAACACATACAGATATTATTTACGCTTCCCTCAGAAAACCCTCGACGTGTGGGGGACTGAGGGAAGCCTTCGGCTAACAGCAGAAGATAAGTGATCAGTCAAAGGCACCCAACAAAACGATGAAGCTTTCGGGAGAATCAACACAATTACTCCTTTTCCCTCAAGTACCTTTCGGCAAAAGGATTGAGGGACTCCTGATGGAGTATATGGCCTGGGAACCCCCGGCCCACAGACTCCTACTAATCTATCACAAGCCCAACAAGCCCAAGGAGCTCAGGAGGCCCAAGATTCGGCGGCCCAAGCGTCAAGAAGCCCACAATACACACAGGGATGCCTTCGGCCTCCTTGGCCGAAGGCTCCAAAACTCACAGAACCGCCATATTCGACCATGCGAAGCTACTGGGAGAAAATGACAGAAAACAGGAGCCTTCGGCCATACATGAAGCCTTCGGCCACACAGGGAGCCTTCGGCCATACATGGAGCCTTCGGCCACACATGGAGCCTTCGGCCACACATGGAGCCCTCGGCCACACATGGAGCCCTCGGCCACACATGGAGCCCTCGGCCACACATGGAGCCCTCAGCCACACATGGAGCCTTCGGCCACACATGGAGCCTTCGGCCATACATGAAGCCTTCGTCCATACATGAAGCCTTCGGCCATACATGAAGCATTCGGCCATACATGAAGCCCTCAGCCACACATGAAGCCTTCGGCCATACACGATTCCTTCGGCCATACATGAAGCCCTCGACCATACATGAAGCCCTCGGCCATACATGAAGCCTTCGGCCACACAGTTAGGGGTGTGCACCGGTCCAAAACCGGACCGGACCGGACCGGAACCGGAATCATCATTTTCTGTGGACCGAAGACCGGACCTGAATCTAACCGGTCCGGACCGGTCCGGACCTGAATTTTCCGGTCCGGTCCGGGTTTGACCCTAATTGACCCGGTTTTAAAAAAAGACATACGAAGTATTATCTTATAGTGTTCTTAGTCGATCGAATTTTTTATAGGAATAAAGCTTGAATGTTGTTGTTGTTGTTTCAAATTATAATTTTATGTGTGAATATGCTAAATAGACTAAATAATTGTTTAGCTCATTTATTAATTTTGGAATATAATCATCAAAACTATTCAATTGTAACAATTAGTTTCCCACAATAATTAAAACTATAATCTTTTGTGTATATTAAAATGGCAAAATCTATTGTAGAGTAATAAAAACTAAATTACGCCCAAAAATATACTCGTATACACTACATACACACCTACAAATAAAGAAACAAATAAAAAGCGATTTGGAAAAATCAAACAAATATAAACTACGATCATAGTAGTGCACACCCGAACAAAAAAAATCATAAACAACTTAGGAAATAATTAGCCAACAAATACACAATTATATATATTCGTTTATATAATAAAAGACAAAAGTAAGCCATAAACATACTAGTAAGCCAAATATAAATGGACTAATGATATAGAACGAAGTATATATTTTACAGAACAATATGTTACCGGTCCATTCCGGTCCGGACCTGTTTTTTCCGGGTTTGACCCGGACCGGACCGGAAACCCGGAATCTTGAAAAACTAAGGACCGAAACCCGGACCGGTTAATACCGGTCCGGTCCGGACCGGTTCATTCCGGTCCGGTTCAGGTCTAAAATATGGTCCGACCCAGTTAATGCACAGCCCTACACACAGTGCCTTCGTCCCCACAAAGCCCTCGGCTACGCGAGGAGCCTTCGGCTAAACGGACTCAATCATCGAAGATTCCCTTTGGAGACAGCCAACCACCGCATTTAATACGACGTCACATCCACCCACCGCATTTAATGTGGGGAACGTGCAATGGTCGGTGCCACCCCGATTGATGTGACCCCTCGGCCGTTGGATTACTGACACGCGTACTCTCATCACATTTATTGCTGCTATAAATAACAGCCCTTATTCTCCTTGTAAACCAGGCTGAGTTCATTTAATAAATCGACTCTCTCTCCTCCTATTTTGCTCTGACTTCTCTCTATTTATTCCCGCAATAACCCCTCGGATAAGATACCCCCGGGTAGATTGTCCATCATTATATTTCACTAGAAGGTTTCATGCATTAAACCCTTATTTTTAGTGCAAAAAAATGCTTATTTTTCTCTTACCTGAAAGTATAAGATCCATTTTTTAATTTTCTTTATGCAATGTGACTATGTGAGCGAGTAGTAACAGGGGTAGCACTAACTTGTGGGCATGTGGCTACCAGAGTTGCAGCCTTGTAGGATAGTCTCTCAACAGTCTCAAGATATCATGGCAAAAGTTCCCTCCATCGTTTCCACCGCCGTAAACTTCCAATCCGGCAAAAGCTCTGCCGTTTTCCGGAGAGATTGTCATTTTTGCCCAAAAGTATACATAATTCGATGTAATAATGCCAAGAACCAAAGAGACATCTCATCCACTGGTACTGAAAATATGGTACTGAAGGTGGCTTGGTATGGTTCTGAGCTTCTGGGCATTGTTGCTTCCCTTCTTCGATCTTCTCCGACAAGTAGCGAAAGTAAAGCTCCAGAAGGAAAAACAGAGCTCGCCTCTGATGGGTCCGGAGTGGTTGACCGATCCCTGGTCGTTGATGCCATCAAAGAGGACTTCCTGAGATCCTACTTCGTCACAGGTTCTGCTCTCAGCTCCAAATATAGATATAGAGGTAGAGAGATTAGTATTCAGGCCAGCATGAATTTTGTAAATTGGGTCACTTCAACCATTCATTTATTTTGTTTATTTTTAGGATTTAGGACTAACTTTTAATTTCAATTGTCTGATCTTCTGTTCGTTCAATAGGGTTTAAGAATCACTATCTCTTATTTAGAATTTATCTAATGTTTGAGATTAATTGATCACTAGATATTGATTTGTCCTCAGAAATCTAATGTTTTATACGAAGTACTATGTATCATGTATGTGCCATTTTACATATTGCATTGCATTGTAAAAACTGAATTTGAATGTGATTGATGTTCAGTACAAAAAATAAGTGAATAAAAGTGTATTATGTTGTTCACATTAATATTAAAATGAAAGACCGGATACCGGGAGTATATATGAAAAATTAAATTTTCCCAGGTTTAAATATTCAGTCTCATAGATTCTTTTATGACCAGAAAATTGAAGCATGCCTCTCTCTGTATTACTGCAATGAGTGTGCATTTAAAGATTTTGTATACCCAAAGCACTTATTCAGTTACCATACATGGGAAACACCTAATTTAAGGAAAAAACTGTTTTCCATATAGAGATACTTTATTGTCATACTCCGACTTGCATACAGAGATACTTTGTGTACATCACTGAAGCCAGATTTGCAATTAATTATACTAATTGCGACTAATAAGAACATTCATGATGTTCAGGGAACCTGACCATGGGTGTATATGAAGAGGAGTGTGAATTTGCAGATCCAGCTGGGTCCTTTAAGGGACTGCGCAGGTTCAAGAGGAACTGCACCAATTTCGGGTACCTTGTCCGCAAGTCAAACATGAAACTTGTCAAGTGGGAGGATTTTGGGGTTAGTTATATTTCATTGCCATTCTATAACTTGCATTAAAAGGTGAAATCTTCCACCCACAGCTCAAACCCACTGAGTAAATGGGGATTAAATCATGGCGACACATTTCACCCCACAGACTAAGTCACTAGTTGCTAGGTGCAAGAACCCTCTTCACTTTAAAGGTACCCTCGATACTGGCTTCGGCAGAGTCAATGTTGGACTCATGTACCACATTTTCAACTTTAGAACTAGATGAGCTACCCATGCGAGAGGACTTCTTTTCTAAAATCTTAAGTGCCCGTTTGAAACTTCAGCAAATGCAAGAGTTGAGAGAAAGAAATTAAATAGAAATGTAGGAGAGTTTTAGAATTTAAGAAAGAGTGCATGTGGCAGTGCATGGTCAAAAATAAAATGTCAGCTTAAACTCTATATTTTCTGTTTATATTTGAAAAGGTTCATTCACTACGTTGAAATAAATAGCCTCAACCCGAAAGCCAACATAATGCTTTTGGGGTGATCGGAAAGGACTAGATTACACAAACAATTTTGATGAAGAAATGGAAGATAAGACTTGAACACTATTTATTAGGCTCAAGAGTAGTATACCGGCAATTACAACACTAAAGTTTAGTCCTACGATAGTACACACCAATCCCTTCAATGGAGCTATGACAGGGTATTTATAATAGGAGATGGCAGCCGAGGGGTTGACATGGCTGTCCCTCATTGGATCAGCCATCCTCTCTCACTATCTTTCCAAATCCATGCATTATATGCTTTTACCATCATATCTAGATTCCTTCCAAGATGGAGTGTTGCCCAAATCATAGGCTCATCCTGCTGATATAATGGGCACAGACCACGGTACTGGATGGACTCGTTGGGTTCAGCCATTTCTGGCACTTGTGGAGAGTGATGTAACTGTTCGTGTTCTGGCATGGTGCAGAGCGGTATGAGCCATCTTGAGCAGTATGGACTGTCTCGAGCAGGTCACAAGATGTTTGCTCGGGGTCAGTATAGCTTCACTTAAATCCACTCAGTTTAGAGAGCGCTCTGTCGTCCAGGATGGCCCTTCTTGTGGCATATCTGGGCCTCCAACATGTACAGGCTTTCAAGTCCAGTATATTATCTTGGCCAGCACGGGCTCTTGGTGGATAAAGGGCTCGTTGCTATGGTGCTGGGCCAATATCATAACACAATGGTTATAATCTAAACGCTTATTCAATTTTCTTCTGCATTTTCATGGGAAAGGCCATATGAGAAGAGAAGTGATTTCCTTGACATTGTCTTTTGCCTATCATTTTCCGAGTTCCAATATAGCCCTTAAGGTTTTGTTGATGTGCACAGGAAAAGGCTATTGGACATTGGCGTTTCAGTTGTGTTTTGGCGTTCCCATGGAAACCCATACTTTCAGGTTTTTGTCTTTTTGATAATTTCTTCATTTATTATGGTTTTTGACTGAGTAAAAAACCCAGCATTTACTTACATGGTGGTGAGTTGGATATTGCAGCTACTGGTTATACCGAGTATTACTTCAACAAGGAATCTGGAAAAGTATGCAGGCATGTAGAGCACTGGAATGTGTCGAAGACGGCGTTGTTTAAGCAGATTCTAAGCCTCAAATCCTAATCCTCCGAATTAAAGTGTTAGGAATTATACAGTATAGGAAGGAATTGTATGTATATACTCCATGTAAATAAATGCTCGTTTCTTTAAGAAGGAATTGTGTGTATATATTGTTTAGAATAGCCCTGGATTAGCCAATACCAGTCTAATGGCATCATGTTGCCCTCCTAAAGCGAAGCTCACAGATTCTAATTTCATTCCGATTAAGAAAATTGATACTCCGCCCCATTTAAAGGTTCCCGTCTACTATTCTCGGTCAACATGCATTTTTTTTAATCTCTTACTTTATATATTCAACTTTTATCAAATTTAATTTCTTTTTTAATAGCCAGTAGTCATGGACCCGGCCCGGGCCGGTTTCGGTTCCGGGCCGGGCCCGGCCGGGCTTTTTTTTTGGGAAGGAAGGCCCGGGACCGGCCCGGGTAGCCACCGGGTCCGGGCCGGGCCGGGCCTCCGGTATGGTCATTTTTTTTTTGCTTTCCTAACCCCCCCTCACCCCCCACCCTCCCAAACCCCCCAAACCCCTCCTAACCATCAAGCCCAACCCGGGTAACCCCAAAAAATGAAAAAAAAAAAAAATGAATTCGGCCCGGACCCGGCCCCGACCCGGCCGGGCCGGTTTGCCAAATACAAGGCCCGAGCCCGGACCCGCCACCCCACTGGGCCTAGGCCCGACTCGGACCCGAGAACCGGGCCGGTTCCGGTTCCGCACAGTAGCGGGCCGGGCCGGGCGGCCCGAACCAGGTCCATGACTATTATTAAGTATTATAGAACTTTTAATGTAGTTTATGTATATGTAAATTTTATTTATTAAAAATAATTCTACTAATGACAAGGATAAATTAACTTTATGGTTAGTCAAACATTGTAAACCGTGTGGGAACCGGGACGGAGGGAGTATTATCTTTCAATAGTGAGCACATCCCAAAATTTTCTTTATTTCATCAATATTTTTATATTCTGAAGTATTTGGGAGTGGGTAGTACCTAAATACTACGTATTTGTTTTTTTGTATCATTGTAAAAAGATGAAGCAATATCTAAACACTTCTAATTTTTTTCACTAGAGATGTTTATAATTGACTGGAAATTCTATAGAGGGCTATTTATATTTGAGAAAGCACTAATCTCACCAAATGGTGATTGCATTGGCACAGAACATGTCACAGCTATATAGTAGAGAATGCAGCTTTGCAGCTCTAGTAGTTGGTCCAGTGAAGATTTCAAAGACAAACATCCTAGCAAACTCTACACAGATACACTTGTAATTTCCGTTTGTATGTTTATGTTTTTAGTTAGTTTTGGTTGTTTAATACTTTGGAAATTACACACTTTTAGTGTAATAGTTATGTTTGTAAAATAGTTGTAATGTGTTTAGATTAGGTTTATTCTGAGCTAAAACAGGTCCAAGATCAATCAAATGATCATTGGTGAGACCAAAAGAGGAAGGAAGGTGCAATAATACAAGACAAAAAAGGAAAGTTCATGATTTTGACCGGTACCTGGTCGGGTATACCCTATAACCGATCGGATACCCTATAACTGATCGCATACCTACTTGATTTTCAATCAGATCAATTCAGGAAACAAAGGGACGTGCAGGGGAAGATTTGGCACGATCAGTTGTTGTACCCGATCGGGTACACCGACACACTCGATCGGGTATACCTTTAATTTTAACTCTGAAATCGATCGAGTACACCTCGAATCTGAGTTTTTACACATACCTGGTCGGGTACCGTGTATATATCCGATCGGGTACCCGAGCTGCATCCCCAAAAGCCTATAAATACAACTCCTTTCCTTCACAATAGACACCAATTCCTATACACTTCTAAGCTCAGTCTAGATAAGTTCTTTCTTAATATTTTCATTATGTTTAGTCTCCCAATGATGAGCTAAATTCTTCCATCTTGGTTTTGCTACTTTGAAGCTTAATGAATTGTAAGTTGTGAGTTATTTTCCTTAATTTTCTTCCTTGAATATTAATCAACTCCTATTCATATTTCATATTATTATTTTGAGCATTACTTAAAGGATCAACTAGTTTTGTTTCATATATTAATTATTACTAGAATCGATCGACGAATACGCTTGTTAATCGTTCGGTCGTTTCACGGTAGTAAACTTGGGTTATTAATGCATGCGTCTCATGGTTAATAAACCAAGGGGAATTAATTGTGTTAATTAAACTAATAAACCGCTTGTGTTGAGGTTATCAATCTCAATCGTTTTCATCTTGATTTTATTGCTACTATCGGGTTAATATATGACGCGTGTTCTATATTAACTCGGTAGTAAGTTTTATTAATGAACGTGTCTCGTTATTAATAACTACCCTCGATGAACTGGATATACTCCTCGATTGAGTATTCGAGAGGAAGATAGTTAAAGATATAACCGGGATCGACGAACATTTCATTAATTAAGTGGATAAAAGCAAAGCCAAGTCTTCTTCTCATTAATTAAACCACATAAGTCGTTCATCTTCGTGTTTAATTAATTAAACCAAATCAAACTAAAACCCTCCTTTTATTACCAGTTCTATAAAAAGAAAAGTATTTCTTTCCCTGTGGATACGAACCTTACTTCATTATACTACGTATAATTGTTGTATTGTATTTTTACTTTGAGTGCACACCACGACAAAGTGCATGTCAAATTTGGCGCCGTTGCCGGGGAAAGGCAATTAATTTTTCCTTTTGTTTTAATTTAACAAAAATATAATATACACACACACACACACACACACACACACACACACACACACACTTAATAAGAAGTATAAAGATTTCTATTTCTTCTGAGCTTTTTAGTATATGGTTAAATATCGTTCACTGAACGAAATCACTTACCAAATAAACCCCGAAATAGAACAAACTCTCGAGCGGTTGAAAATAATTCTCAAGCTCCGACTCGGGAGAATCATCAAATGCTAGTTCTCATTCTAGCGAAACCGAAGAGCCAATCACTATGGCTCAAGAGACGAGAACATTGAGAGAGCTCACGGCTCCGAATCTTAATCAACAACCCCTATGTATCACTTTTCCAACTCTTGATACGGGGTCACATTCAAGCTTAAATCTAGGCTCATACATCTACTCCCATCTTTCCACGGCCTGAGAGGAGAAGATCCGAATAAACATCTTTCGGAGTTCCACATCGTTTGCACTAGCATGTGCCCAAATGGTGTCACCGAAGAACAAATCAAGCTGAGGGCCTTCCCATTCTCTTTAAAGGACACCGCGAAGGATTGACTTTTCTATCTTTCTTCGGGGAGCATCAACACATGGGCAGAAATGAAGAAGTGCTTCCTTGAAAGGTACTATCCCGCTTCCATTTCATCATCTCTCAAGAAGCAAATACGCAATATTGAACAATAGGATGATGAACCCTTGTATGAATTCTGGGAAAGATTCAAGAAGCTATGTGCTAGCTGCCCCTATCAAGGATACACCGAACAAGACCTCATTCTCTACTTCTATGATGGTCTTGTGGATCAAGATCGCTGCATGGTGAATGCAGCGTGTGGAGGGGGCATTGTCAACAAAACCCCGTCTCAAGCAAGAGATCTCATCTCGGAGTTGGCCGAGAACTCTAGACACTACAACGGGCGGTCCTCAACTCGTAGAGTTGCCGCTGCGGAATCAATATCATCATTGGAGAGTCAAGTTGCCAGTTTGACTTCTTTGGTTAAGGATTTCCTTTTAAAATCCAAGGCCCAAGAAGTCAAAGTCTGCGACATTTGCACACAACAAGGCCACCCCACTGACTCATGCCCTCCTCTTCAAGAAGACAATACAGAGCAAGTCAACGCCTTAGGTTTCCAAGGACATCAACAAAGGAGGTATGACCCGTTCTCAAACTTTTACAACCCCGGATTGAGGGATCATCCAAAATTGAGATATGGAAACCCCCAACAATCCAACCCATCTTCTCAACCACCTTTTAACAATCAAGGCTCAAATTCTCAACCTAATATGTCAACTGATGACATGATACGAGCTTTGACCTCAAACATGGTTACCATGCAACAAAACATGGGACAATTTCAACAAACCATGATACAATTCTAAGGGTAATATTCTGGATGCAGGGGTATGGAGTAATCCCTCCCTTATTTGGAGGAGTATAATTACGGCGATGCCTACGGTTCGGGAGGGGCTGATTTACCGGATAGGGAATGGATCTAGTGTTAGGGTCTGGAAGGATAAATGGATCCCTACCAATAATGGGGGGCGAGTGGCGAATGGTATTATTAGTGAGCTTGAAGATATAAAGGTGGATGACATTCATGTAATTTCCATATTTAAATTTGTACTTTTAATTAGTTTCGAGTGATTGTTACTTTGGAAATTACACACTTTTGGTGTAAATAGTTTAGCTTGTAAAATATTTGTAATATGTTTAGATTAGGTTTATTCCGAGCTCAAACAGGTCCATGTACACTTTAGAGACCATTGGTGAACATCACAAGTGCAAGGAAGGTGCAAGAATGCAAGAAAAAAATGGAGGATCCCGATTTTGGTCTGTACCCGGTCGGGTATGACCTATACCCGATCGGGTCCCCTTCTAAAATTTCGAATCAGATCAAATCCGGGAACAAGGCATCATGCGGGAAGATTTTAACACGTTCGGGTGTCCATACCCGATCGGGTGACCGACAGACCCGATCGGGTATGACCCCATTTTCCAGCTTCGACGAAGCCACATCTTGTATTCGAGTCACCCGATCGGGTACTCTACTCTGGAAAGCTAAAAACACTTTCGAATTAAAATACCCGATCGGGTATATCGGGCCACCCGATCGGGTACACGACCTTTTTACCCCAAATCAGTCCCAAATCCGCCATTTCATCTTCCCCAACCTACCAAAACTCGAACCACTCTCCCCAAATCCCCCATTTTCGGACCTCCAAGCTCCCATAACTCACCCAACACTCCACCAAATCTTCCCATACCACCATCAAAACACTCCTCTCACCACCCTCTCCAACCTCATACCCAAAAATCAACACATCTCCCTCTCTCCCCAAAAATCCGAAACCCTACCCCAAAATCCCCAAATCCGAATTCAAGCTTGAAATTTGGACAAAATGGTACCAAAAAGAAGCCAACCGGAGAGCTCCAATGCTAGAGGACCAATTCCGGGGTATGAGACCATCCGCTTTGGGCCGGGAGATCACCGCAAACGATTTATGGCCATCATCAAAAGGCAAGTAATTCCTTCTAGATTCCTATGTCATAAAGCTCTTAC